CAGTTTCCTCCTCCTGCTGCTGCAGTATCCTCCTGCTGCTGCAGTATCCTCCTGCTGCTGCAGTATCCTGCTGCTGCAGTATCCTCCTGCTGCTGCTGCAGCAGTATCCTCCTGCTGCTGCTGCAGCAGTATCCTCCTGCTGCTGCTGCAGCAGTATCCTCCTGCTGCTGCTGCAGCAGTATCCTCCTGCTGCTGCTGCTGCAGCAGTATCCTCCTGCTGCTGCTGCAGCAGTATCCTCCTGCTGCTGCTGCAGCAGTATCCTCCTGCTGCTGCTGCTGCTGCTGCAGTATCCTCCTCCTGCTGCTGCAGCAGTATCCTCCTGCTGCTGCTGGCAGCAGTATCCTCCTGCTGCTGCTGCAGCAGTATCCTCCTGCTGCTGCTGCAGCAGTATCCTCCTGCTGCTGCTGCTGCAGCAGTATCCTCCTGCTGCTGCTGCTGCAGCAGTATCCTCCTGCTGCTGCTGCTGCAGCAGTATCCTCCTGCTGCTGCTGCAGTATCCTCCTGCTGCTGCTGCAGTATCCTGCTGCTGCTGCTGCAGTATCCTGTTGCTGCTGCTGCTACAGTATCCTCCTGCTGCTGCTGCAGTATCCTGCTGCTGCTGCTGCAGTATCCTCCTGCTGCTGCTGCAGTATCCTCCTGCTGCTGCTGCTGCAGTATCCTCCTGCTGCTGCTGCAGTATCCTCCTGCTGCTGCTGCTGCAGTATCCTCCTGCTGCTGCTGCAGCAGTATCCTCCTGCTGCTGCTGCAGCAGTATCCTCCTGCTGCTGCTGCAGCAGTATCCTCCTGCTGCTGCTGCAGCAGTATCCTCCTCCTGCTGCTGCTGCAGCAGTATCCTCCTGCTGCTGCTGCAGCAGTATCCTCCTGCTGCTGCTGCAGCAGTATCCTCCTGCTGCTGCTGCAGCAGTATCCTCCTGCTGCTGCTGCAGTATCCTCCTGCTGCTGCTGCTGCTGCAGTATCCTGCTGCTGCTGCTGCTGCTGCTGCTGCAGTATCCTCCTGCTGCTGCTGCTGCTGCATTATCCTCCTGCTGCTGCTGCTGCTGCAGTATCCTCCTGCTGCTGCAGTATCCTCCTGCTGCTGCTGCTGCAGTATCCTCCTGCTGCTGCTGCTGCTGCTGCAGTATCCTCCTGCTGCTGCTGCTGCTGCAGTTTCCTCCTGCTGCTGCTGCTGCTGCTGCAGTATCCTCCTGCTGCTGCAGTATCCTCCTGCTGCTGCAGTATCCTCCTGCTGCTGCAGTATCCTCCTGCTGCTGCAGTATCCTCCTGCTGCTGCAGTATCCTCCTGCTGCTGCTGCTGCTGCTGCAGTATCCTGCTGCTGCTGCTGCTGCTGCTGCAGTTTCCTCCTCCTGCTGCTGCAGTATCCTCCTGCTGCTGCAGTATCCTCCTGCTGCTGCAGTATCCTGCTGCTGCTGCTGCAGTATCCTCCTGCTGCTGCTGCAGCAGTATCCTCCTGCTGCTGCTGCAGCAGTATCCTCCTGCTGCTGCTGCAGCAGTATCCTCCTGCTGCTGCTGCAGCAGTATCCTCCTGCTGCTGCTGCAGCAGTATCCTCCTGCTGCTGCTGCAGCAGTATCCTCCTGCTGCTGCTGCTGCTGCAGTATCCTCCTGCTGCTGCTGCTGCTGCAGTATCCTCCTGCTGCTGCTGCAGTATCCTCCTGCTGTTGCTGCTGCTGCTGCTGCTGCTGCAGTATCCTCCTCCTGCTGCTGCAGCAGTATCCTCCTGCTGCTGCTGCAGCAGTATCCTCCTGCTGCTGCTGCTGCAGCAGTATCCTCCTGCTGCTGCTGCTGCAGCAGTATCCTCCTGCTGCTGCTGCTGCAGCAGTATCCTCCTGATGCTGCTGCTGCAGCAGTATCCTCCTGCTGCTGCTGCAGTATCTTCCTGCTGCTGCTGCAGTATCCTGCTGCTGCTGCTGCTGCTGGTGCTGCTGCAGTATCCTCCTGCTGCTGCTGCAGTATCCTCCTGCTGCTGCTGCTGCAGTTTCCTCCTCCTGCTGCTGCAGTATCCTCCTGCTGCTGCTGCTGTTGCAGTATCCTCCTGCTGCTGCAGTATCCTGCTGCTGCTGCTGCTGCTGCTGCAGTTTCCTCCTCCTGCTGCTGCTGCTGCTGCAGTATCCTCCTGCTGCTGCAGTATCCTCCTGCTGCTGCTGCTGCTGCAGTATCCTCCTGCTGCTGCTGCTGCTGCAGTATCCTCCTGCTGCTGCTGCTGCAGTTTCCTCCTCCTGCTGCTGCAGTATCCTCCTGCTGCTGCTGCAGTATCCTCCTGACGACCTATGACTTCTGCACCTCTCCTGCCAACGGTTTATAAGCTCCTTCTCAGCACGTATGCCGTATTCTATTCAAGATTGATGGACTGACCACATCGACTCAAGGTTGAGGGACTGATTACCTCATTCTCCTCCTGTTCTTCAAGATTCTCCTTTGTATGGACTGATGAAGCCACTGTGTGGCGAAACGTTTCCTCAATAAAGATACCCAAGAGTTGCACATGTGTCTAATTTATCAACATGTCGGTTCTCTGAACCATTCATCTACAAAGTATCCTCCTGCTGCTGTTGCAGTATCCTCCTGCTGCTGCTGCTGCAGTATCCTCCTGCTGCTGCTGCTGCAGTATCCTCCTGCTGCTGCTGCTGCAGTATCCTCCTGCTACTGCTGCAGTGTCCTCCTGCTGCTGCTTCAGTATCATCTTGCTGCTGCAGTATCCTCCTGCTGCTGCTGCTGCTGCTGCTGCTGCTGCAGTATCCTCCTGCTGCTGCTTCAGTATCCTCCTGCTGCTGCTTCAGTATCCTCCTGCTGCTGCAGTACTCTCCTCCTGCTGCAGAACCCTCCTCTTGCTGTAGTACCCTTCTTGAGCTGCAGTACTCTCCTCTTGCTGCAGTACTCTCCTCCTGCTGCAGAACCCTCCTATTGCTGCAGTACATTTCTTCTAAGAGTATTCTCTAATACTCTGGAGAGGATGCTTGTTATTGATACCAACCAGCCTGTCAGTCTGTTCCTGTTTATTCCTCATCTTAATTAAATACAGGGATTACAGTAGCCAGGTTCCAGCTGTCCATTAGTTGTCACGCTAGTGACTTGTCGAATATCTTTGTTCTGTGTTGTTAGGTAAGACACATATGCAACAGTTAGGTATCTTTATTATGAAACGTTTCGCCTACACAGTAGGCTTCTTCAGTCAAGTACAGAAAAGTTGATAGAAGCAGAAGATACTTGAAGACGATGTAATCAATCCATCACCCTTAAAGTTTTGAGGTGGTCAGTCCCTCAGTCTGGAGATGAGCATTGTTCCATAGTATGAAACAATATGGAGAAGAAGTGACAGGATGGAGCTTTTTATAGCGCCAAGAGGTGAGACGTAGGCCACTAGGAGAGGTAAGAACTCAGATGTTGAGAAGTCAGGTCCCTCTCTAATCCAGCCCCTCTCACTAGTGGAAGTTGTCGAAGTTGATTGCAGGTCTGTACCAAGATACCCTTGTGTTGCAGTGTCTGACAGATTGAACATTAAAATGGGACCTGACTTCTCAACATCTGAGTTCTTACCTCTCCTAGTGGCCTACGTCTCACCTCTTGGCGCTATAAAAAGCTCCATCCTGTCACTTCTTCTCCATATTGTTTCATACTATGGAACAATGCTCATCTCCAGACTGAGGGACTGACCACCTCAAAACTTTAAGGGTGATGGATTGATTACATCGTCTTCAAGTATCTTCTGCTTCTATCAACTTTTCTGTACTTGACTGAAGAAGCCTACTGTGTAGGCGAAACGTTTCATAATAAAGATACCTAACTGTTGCATATGTGTCTTACCTAACAACCTGTCGGTATTTTATACCATTTTAATGTTCAATCTTTGTTCTGTTCTTACACTGGTTCTACTCCTTTCCTCAGCTCTCAGGAAATATGTTGTCAGGTACCATGGAGTTCGTTGTGTGTAGGTCTTTAATTAATATTTTCTTCACTTCTTTTTTTGTTGTGAGAATCTTTTATTGTGTGTTAACCTCTCCTGATTACCATGTTTTCTGGCATAATTTTTTATTTTTAAAAAACCTCTTTGAATCTTTGGTTCCTTATACGTACGCCCTTGAGATCCAAAAAATGTACAGGTACTACAGTACATTGCTGTACTTAATGTTTGCCATGGCTTATGTTATTTGGTACCGTACTATTGTATTTTATTATTTATGGGAACTGATAAACTTGTATAGGTCATTCAGCATAAGAAGTGGCTGAGGCTCGATCCTTCGTCTTGTTATTGGGATAGAGAAGGGGAACTCCAGGAGAAGACAAAAGGTTCCAGCCATTGCTAATTCCTTCAGATTTGTCATTCAAGGTTACTTTATGCTCTGAAGAGTTAAGACCAAGGTCATTGTGAAGTTACAGGATAAGAAACAGAGGGTTACCCAGAATTCCAAAATTAATTTGGAGATGGAAGGATGTTAAACTCAGAAATAAAAAATAGATTTTTGTTTTAGTTCTGTAACTCCCTGTAAGTCTTATTATTGCAGCCAGGTTTTCCATGTCCTCTGTTGTATGGTAATAAAAATGTAAAGATGTTTTATTTATTTAGTGTGTGTTGGGGAGGGAGTAAGTGTGTACTCACCTAGTTGTGGCTGCAGGGGTCGATTCACAGCTCCTCGCCCTGAACATGTGTGTGTGTGTGTGTGTGTGTGTGTTTGAGAGACATGAATGCACACATACATTTATTTATATACACACAAGGACAGTGGCAGAATTTTGAAGGTGTTGCAATCGGAGGGTAAATGTACTGTAATGTCAGCACATGTATGGTAAGTCGATGATTGAAAAAATGATGGTGATAGTGGTTTTCTTCTTTGGGCCACCCTTCCTTGTGGGAGAATGCCGTTGAGTTAAAAATATATCATGCTAAAAACATATCGTGCTAAAAATATATCATGCTAGGTATTGATGTACTGTTAATATTTTTCATATCTGTAATATACAAGAAATCATTTTCCTTTTCTATTTATTTTTATTTTTTTTTCAGTTCGACGGTATGACAATGCGACAACTTGTGGTCTGGTCTGGACAGCAAACTTTGTGGCATATCGGTGTCGGACATGTGGCATTTCACCTTGTATGAGCCTATGTGCTCAGTGCTTTCAAGTAAGAAATTGTAATTATCTCACATAAACAATGTAGCAAAGTTAGCACGTAAGAGCCAAATAAATTTTGTCATAAATAAATAAAGTGTCATTTAATACATGCAGAAAGCAAGATTGACAAGGAAAATAATTGTATAAATTCAACACAACTACTGGATGCAAATGAAGAAAAAACTGGGGAAATAATAGTTAAGAGTTTTTAAGTTGTGTAAGCATGGTACATGTTTGTGTGAGGTGTTGTCACCTTCTCTGAGTGAGGTGTCACCTCAGGGTTAAACATATAAATTTGCTTCTCTTTCCTCTTCTCTTCCTCTGAAGATGTGTGTGTGTGTAAGCACATGAAAGTGCACAGGTTTTATTTCCTATTCTCACTGTGGTATTTTTTCATATGCAAATAGAATTGTATGCTTTACTCTGTGACTGGTGAGAAGCAAGTTGTTACTAGGCTTAGGTAGCACTGGTATTCCATAACACTTCTTTAATGAGAAAGTGGGACCGAGGAGTAGGATAATATTGTGCTTTTACTGCATTGCTGATTCACCTACTTATTGCAGTGAGGCTTTATTTCTCCTACTTGCTTAGGTTCAATGGATGCAGGTAAGGATTCCAGATATTAATGCATCTAGTGGATGTGTATAGTGGTCTTGATGGGCACATGTTCCACTAGTGTATACCTTATATTGTAACTGACTGAGACATAAGAACATAAGAATGGAGGAACACTGCAGAAGGCCTACTGGCCCATGCAAGGCAGGTCCTCATCAAAACGACCTCTACCCAAAGCTACCCAAGAATTTCCTCCCGTACCCAGTGACACCAATCAAACCCAGCCCCTCCCACTCGTATATTTGTCCAATCTCTTTTTAAAGCTACCCAAGGTCCTAGCCTCGATCACCCTACTGGGAAGATTGTTCTACGCATCCACAACTCTGTTAGAAAACCAGTACTTACCTGGGAAACAAGAGAGCATTAGGGAAAGGCCATCCTTTCCAGGACTACCTCTTCCAGTCTCGATTGCCAGAATCTCTCGCCCTTGGCCCTCTTCCTCCTCTTGTGCCCTCCATATCGCTTGTTCCTCTTGTTCTCCTGCTTCCTGAGATGATTTCTCTGGATGTACTGGACCTATCCTGCTCATGCTCCTCTTTAGCTACTTCAGGGCCACTTTTGCTGGGTGCTCTCAGTTCTACTCTGCCACAAGTGTCAAGGTCCCTGTATTTTTAGACTTCCTTTC